AAGATTTAATTTAATGTAACTAATAAATCCTGTTGACATGTCGCAGAGCATGAAGAAACCGAAGCTGTTTTGGGTATCGGCAGGAGCACCTCTGCTTTCAGTCGTCGTCTCTACACTTTTTGTTTTTGCTTTCAAAGCGCAACACCATGGCATCTCTGTGGTAAGTCCTATTATTATATTTTGTTTACTTAAATATTAAACGATTAAATACAAATAATAGATAACAAAAATGGACGAAAAGTATATGTGCTATTATTAAAACAAACTCTAACTATTAATGTTATTATTATGTGTTAAATAGATAGGAAAATTAGAACAAGGATTGAATCCACCTTCATGGAACATGTTACACTTTCACGGAAGTCATATGGGCTTAGTCTTAAAAACTGGACTCATCACTGGCATAATCTCACTCACTGTAAGTTACAACCTCAATTTCATAACATACAAGTACAACTTGTTATAACCCAACTTTCTTACAAGGGTATTTTGGTCTTTTCACAAACAGGAAGGGATTGCTGTCGGAAGAACATTTGCGGCATTAAAGAATTACCAGGTAGATGGTAATAAAGAAATGATCGCAATTGGTGTAATGAATGTCGTTGGTTCCACCACTTCATGTTACATCACAACAGGTAAAAGACAATTTCATGTAACGAATATTCATCAATTTATGAATAAAAATTTCTTCGTAAACTCTAAAATTTAATTTTCTTATTTCTTGAAGTAAGAAATTTTTTTACAACTTGTACATCTTGAATCTTTACTTGTACTCTAACTGCTACCGTCATAATCCTAGGTGCATTTTCACGGTCCGCCGTGAACCATAATGCCGGAGCCAAGACAGCTGTCTCAAACATAATCATGGCGGTTACAGTTATGGTGACACTGCTTTTCTTGATGCCGTTATTCCAATATACACCCAACCTCGTATTGGGTGCAATCATTGTCACAGCCGTCATTGGCCTCGTTGACATCCCAGCCGCTTACCAAATATGGAAAGTCGATAAATTCGACTTCGTTGTGATGTTGTGTGCTTTCTTTGGTGTCATCTTTATATCCGTCCAAGAAGGACTTGCACTCGCGGTAAGTGTTATCATAACCTGTTAACTTTTCACCAGTACCAATACCAGTACCAGTAACCGTAAGAAAGGAAGTTAGTGACTGATTATAAAATTTCCAGGTTGGTATATCGATATTCAAGATGGTGTTGCAGATGACAAGACCTAAAACAGTGGTGTTGGGAAACATACCTGGTACGGACATATTTAGGAATAGGCATCAGTACAAGGATGCTGTTCCAGTACCAGGTTTCTTGATTTTAAGCATCCAAGCTCCAATCAATTTTGCCAATTCCAATTATCTCAATGATAGGTAATGTATTAATTAATCCCTGTTTTCGTTAAGTATAATATTTATGTTTTTCTTTATTAAATATTATATATTATATATAGATAAATGATATCTAAAAAACTAAGAGAATTGACAATACTTTTGGAGAATTTAAAGGAAAAAATAAATGAATCCATAAATAAAACACTCATAGATAACTTTCCTGATTAAGTTTAAAATCCATCAAGTTAAGATATCTATAGCATCTTCGTATCTATTCGTCAGTGATTTAATGACTATTTAATGATGAGTGGCAAATCTTTACTAGCTTTTAAACCATTAATAATGTATTTTGTTCCTATCTAATTAAGTAGTTGTGTATAGATGCCAAAAAAGATCATGATTTGATTGCAACGTTTAATACTTGTTTTTTGCATTTAAAATTATAAGAATGACGATTTTGTTTCTAACGATATATCAAGAACCAAGTATTGGTATTTCCGATGTCTTTTTGCTTGACACGTGGATTTCATTTTTCTTTTTGTATTGTTTCTTGAAGGATTTTGAGGTGGATACAAGATTATGAAGAAGAAGAAGAAGAAAATATCAAAATGCATTCTAGTCTAAGATTTGTGGTTTTGGATCTCGCAGGTAACTTCTAAATTTCATTTTTTGTGTAATTAATTAAAAAGTTATAGATGACAAATCTGATTCTTTTTATGGGTATATGGGTCGATTTGGCTTCCATTATCTATAACGTTTGTCATCTATTTGTGTAAATTTTCAGCTGTGAGTGCCATTGATACAAATGGAGTGACATTTGTCCAAGAACTCAGAAGGGTTTTGGAAAAGAAGGGTGTTGAGGCAAGTTCTATTCAGGATTTTATTTTTTCTAAATATTTATGTAAATCTATACAATCGGGTCAATGTTATATTTATCTTTATCTTTTATGATATTTATAGTCATGGTTATTGTTATTTTGATTTGGTTGCAGCTTGTATTGGTGAATCCAGTTGGAGAAGTGATGGAGAAATTGAAAAAAGCAGATGGAACCCATGATCTTCTGCAACCGAATGTGCTTTTCTTGACTGTAGGGGAAGCAGTTTCATCGTTATTCTCATCAATGAAGGGTGTGTCATCAAGTCACGTTTGAAGGAATGAATGTGCGGATGGTGTTCCAATGGTGAACGTAACATAAGTAGGAAGGAAGGGGGAAAAAGGAGGTTATAAGCACTCTAAATTAATTAATCTCAAATACGTGAATGTTGTAGGGTTTTTAGGTTTTGTTAGAAACCAAATATTGTTTAAGGTTCCTGGAAGGAAATGGGATAACCCCTTGAAGTATATTTTTGGAACATCAGTATAATGCTTAATTTGACCATTATGGTCTTAATTGTTTTGGAACTTCGATTTCAAGAATATAACATTTTTAATTTAAAAGTCCAATATATGCATCACAAGAAATAAACCAAAATTATGACCAAAAATCACCTTCCACACATTGTTTTGCAACGTTAAAGGGGATAGAATAGAACATATACATGGAATTCAAAAATTATATAAGATTCATTCTGGTACCGATTTTGAAAGGGAAAATAACTTAAAAAGGTAACGAGGTTTCGAAAATGTACAAAAAAGACAATTGTTGTTTTTTGAGTACACAAAATATCATTGAACCGGCTATTGTAGGTAACTATCAGGTTACCCAGTTATTAAATGTTCAAGACATACCATTGTTGTTTTTTTTAGTACAAAAAATATTATTAAAGTTACTATTTGTACACAGAATACCAACGAAGTATTCATGTGTTCAAATAAAACATTGTGGTAACCGATTACTTTAGGTAAACGGAAAATAACTTAAAAGTGTAATAAAGTTTCAAAAATGTTCAAAAAATACCACACTTTTTGTTAACTTCATTGTTATCGGATTATGTAGAACCCAGTCATCGGAGATCATACATCGTCATATCAGTTCACAACAGTTATGCAATCTTTTTCATTCCCTCACTCGATCGTTCTTATAGTAACATGAAAAGTAAGTGGATAATAACCTTAGTTAAACGTTCTTATGATATGCCTCAAACCTAGAACATATATACGTTACATAGATACACGTATTACACATCAATGTTAGTTGTTCATTAGTGTTGCGGCACAACAAAGACACAAAAGAGAAACGAGTGTGACGTTATGTTTTGAGAATTCCTAAATGTGGATGTAGAGAATAAGAGTTGCTTTTAATTCTTTGTGACCAGTGAGGGATGAATGGTTAGGTACACCCTCTATCATGTGGCTTATTTGATGATGATTTGTTGTCAACATAGACGGAGAAAAATATGTATTGGAGCGCTTGACTTGCATCCTAATTGATAGAGTTGTAGTTATGTGTTTTTTTGTGATTGTATTTAGATACAAACTGATCGAATGAGGGAATGAAAGAGAATGCACAACTGGTGTAAACTGGTTAGACAGTGAATGATCGCCGATGACCGTGACCGTGATCTACATAATCTGAAAACATCGAAATTAACAAAAAACGCTCGAAAAAAGTAACAATGATATTTTTTTTATTTTTTTGAACATTTTGGAAACTTCAATGGTATTTTTGTACTAAAATGTGTATTTTATAGGTATTCTATGTACAAATTGTATACTTCAATGGTATTTTTATACTAAAAAAATAGTGATATTTTTTGAACATTTTGAAAACTTTATTACTTTTTTAGATCATTTTTCTGTTTACCTGAAATGACCGGTTACCACAAAGTTTATTTGAACACATGTATACTTCATTGGTATTCCGTGTACAAAAAATATACTTTAATGGTATTCTTTGTACTAAAAAAATAATAATGACACATTTAAAAACATCTTACCTTTTTTAAGGCATTTTCCCATTTTGAAAAGTACAACTTCAAATAGTTAAAATGATATGCACACTTAAATCAGCAACAATTTCAAAACTATCGCACACAACCAAGAAAACTTAAAACTTAAAAACCGAAACAATACAACATTATCCTCGTTTCAAAGTGTTGGAATTGGTATCTTTAGTGACAAAATATTATTTTTGGGACAAACCCGTGTAATTTTGACCACTAGGGTTTAAATTGTTTTGGCAAGTTAACTTACTATTCATTTCGAGAATATAACATTTTTATTTTATTAGACGTAAGAAACTAGTGAATTTTATTATTGAAAATCACATTTTGATCATATTGTTTTCTCACTTTCAACGAAACAGACGAAATTCACAAGCTCTAAATAAACCATTTTTTTAATCATGTAACATGTCACTAATTATCATATCCTAAACAATTTCATGTTAAGCTGGTAAAATATGACACGACATTAATAAACGAATTTGGTTAAAAGATTTCAATCCTTTTGATTAAACGGACTGACACGAAAGTTAAACAAGGTTAGACTTAAAAAAAAAAAAAATCAACTCGAAAATAAGTCATTTACTTTTTTTTATCGGTCACTTTTACAAAATCGGTATACAACAATGCAAACTTTTATTTTTATTTTTGTCCAAATTCACCCTTTTTTTTTTTTGAAGGGTAGGTGGTAGGACCATGGGACCCACCCTTGATAAATCAATAAAAGAAATACAAATGAGGACAAACTTGTCATTTTACCAAAGGTGAACGGCCAAATCTAGGGGTGTTTGGCTTAGCTTTTCACAACCAAAAGTCATTTTTGTAAAAGAAAAAAAACAAAAAGATGTTTAGCAAACTTATAACTTTTGGAGTTTTAATACAAGAAAAAACAACTTTTTGGAAAAGTCAGGAAATCCTGACTTTTTGTAACTTTTTGGAAAAGTTCTTTTGAACTTTTAAAAGCTAAGCCAAACACAATGACACATGAGGGGCGAAAAGTGTTGCAAAAAGTTCTATAAAAGACACAAAAGAGGCGAAATCAGTAACTTTCAGCATAACACATTGACGAAAACTGTACTTTGCCCTTAAATTTATAATTTCACTGTTTTGTAAAGTTTCTTTCAATAAATAGAAATTTTTTAAAAAAAAAATTACTGCTATGTATGTAGTTAGTCTGGGGTTCTTGGTGTTAGTTTTCAAATATGTTCATTATTTCTAAACTTTTCACCTGAAAACTTGTAATTAAATTTTACTGATGCTTCCTTTGATATAGTGAATATCCAACAAAGGCAGACATCAAAAATGTCCATAGCACCTACACACAATCAGAAATAAGAGAAATTAATAAAAAAAAATTGATAAAATGTTAAATGACGAAAATGCCCTTAACTTACTGTATTAATTGCCTGCCACCGTTCGAGTCTCTTGATTCTTGACTGCATATCTTCAATCACACCTTCCATGGGAGAAATAGCCTCCCTACTTGGTGATGACTCAGATGATGAACTGCTACCCTGCTTTTGATATATCAAAATAAATAAATAAAAATATTTAACAAATTTGATATATTTATACTTTTAATATTAAACAATTTATAAATTAAACCTGAGATTGAATGTTTTCTACAAGTTCTTGCAACCGTGCAGCTTGTTGAGCATTGATCCCACTCGAATTTCTCTCCGATGCTGGTAATTTTTCCAGTACTATTTCAAGGTAACTCTAAAAAATGAATAAAATAATTAAATCAGAATAAAAATAAAATAAATGCTTTAAATTAAATTTAAAAAAAAAAAAAAAAAAGTTGGAAAAACCTTTGTGGTGTATGAACCATCAAGCTCAAGAGCCGAACCAGCAGCTACAACAACTTCCTTATTTGCCCCTTTAATCTGTATATATGGCCCCGGGACATCTTGCAAATGATCAACCTCCATTAAAAGCTACAAGGGCAAAATTGTCATATTCAAAAAAAAAAAAAAAAAAAAAAAAAAAAAAAAACTAAGTGTTAGATTTAACAAAAAGAAAATCAAAATTCAGATGACCAATTCTGTAATTTTACACATAAAAATATTTTACCTTTCCATCTTGGTAGATATATGCAGATGCTTCAATGTAAGCTACAGCTTGATACCTGAAAATCAATTTAATAGATAAAATATTTATATAAAAGATAATAATTGCATCATATAAATATAAAATGATGTGAAGTACCCAAGATTAAGAAGACCAGAAACTGTACTGATGCTGATATCAAAGTCCACCTTTGGTTGAATTATGAAATCCCCTTCTCGTATAGGCTAATTAATAAAAACATTAAACAAAAATAAAAAATAAGAAAAGAAAAATAATTAATATAAATTTTGACCACAGACCTCCCTTATGAGTAGTGCGAATCTGCCTTCACATATTCTCACACGCATACAGTCACTCTCTGTTAACTGTCCATTACTTGGAATCCCAGAAAGCCTTAAATATATATCAATAAAATTTTGAGCAGAGCTGCAAATCTTTTTAGGATCAAGCAACTTTAAAATATCTTGATATGCCACCTGTCACATTCAATATTGAAAACATTTTATATTTTCATAATATGTAACCAGCTTCAGCTTGAGCTTGAGCTTACTTGTTTGTTGCTTTTTAATACAAATAATGAGCTTTCGGGGGATAGCACAGGGTCAAAATCATTACGGATTTTCAACTGCAAGATAAAAGTTTATAAATGTTAGAATTTTTTTTTTTTTTAAAAATAAAAAATATAAAAAATTTTGTACATTAGTGTCATCTACTAACATGTGCATGAACAAGGTGGGGTTCAATGTGAAGCTGGAACATAGGAAAGACGGTTGTCATGATTTCATTTTGGGACATAAAGCATCCTGCTTTACTTTTGTCTCTTTGAACTCGAGAAATAAGATGTGAATGTACGCCTCCAACCTGTATTTTTTTTTTTTTTTTGAAATATTAAAAAACATAATAATATTTTTATATCAAATTACCAAAAAAAAAAATGAAGGATAGATATAATCTTACAACAGCAACCCAGAGGTCGAGTGACTTTCTGATATCAGGGTGTAAAGCGTAAACACCTTCAATTATGACTACTCCACAATCTTCAGAAACTTCAAGTTCTTTAAACCCACTGCGGGCCCCACTTTCTAAATCAAATACAGGTACTTTTGCTTTCCTACCTCTTCTCATATCACCAATATTCTGCACCAAAAAAAGCATCAACATCTTTTCTCCCAGATGATGCAAATGGAAATATCACAAAAATAAAAATTACATTTTTGGTCCTTGAGTATAACTGAGTTTTGCAATTTTGGTCCTTATTTGACATTCTTGTAACATTTTTAGTCCCTAAGTATAGCTGATTTTCGCAACTTTGGTCCAAAAAAGTTCTCTTGTAATTTTGGTCCTTATTCAGGGTTACTGTAACATCTTTTGGTCCCTGGATACAGCTGATTTTGCAAATTTGGTCCGATAAATAGTCATTTTACTTGGAACAAGGACCCAAAAATGTTGCAAACGCCTAAAATGAAGACCAAAATTGAGAGAGAAAAGTTTTCGGGACCAAAATTGAAAAAGTCAGCTATACTCAGGGACCAAAAATGTAATTTACTGAAAAGAAAAAAGATAGAATTTGTATCACCTTTGTGAGTAAAGGTAGATCAAGTGAGCGGAAGTCATCATATTTGAAGTCTTTTGATTGCTCAGATTTATAATAACTTTCAAGAGAAATAACTTCACAACCAACAATATTTGCCATTTTGCGGGCCAGACTAGTTTTCCCGGACCCACTTGGCCCTCCAATTCCAACAATGACCGGCATACCCTTGTGCTCCAACAAAGCCTAAAAAAACACACACATACAAACAATCACTAAACCCTAATTTTAAGAAAAAATGATTTCATCTTCATCAGTTCATCCCCAAATCCTGTATAACTTGTAACACACTCACTTGTATTGCTTGTACAGCAAGTAACAGTCCCCTATCAAGATCAAAAGAATCAGGCATTGGAGCAAGCTGCAGTGTATTCGTATCCCTGAAAGAAGAAGGATCTGTAGATGCTTGATGAGAAGAACACCAATTAAATTTATTTCTTTTTTTTTATTATTTTGGTTAAAATTACATACCAATTGAAGATCCATCCGATGAGATGAATTGCCATGGGGCTAAAACCGGCTCCACTTTGGACTTGGTGGGGGATCGAGTCCATGGTTGTGACATGTCATCATCCCTGTTCACAAGTTCTGGACGAATTCGCAGTGGCTTTGGTGCAATTAATGGTGGCTCTTTATGTGTATATGAAGGTGATATTATTGTAGGTAAAAGAGGAGGTGTATTAAGCCTAGGAACACCTTTAGTGTCAAGAATCATTTCTAGATATGATCTTGTGATCCATGGTCCTGTTATCCCTAGCCTTAATGCCTCTGCTTCAACCATCTACACCCCCAAAAAAAAAATTAAAAATCGGTTGTTTTATAATTATATTCCAACAAAAGAATGAGAAGTAAAGTAACAACATACTTTTCTATCTCTTCCTCTAAGGACTAAATATGTTTCGGAAAGAGTATCGATTGTCTCCAAGGAGATTGAAAGGTTGTCATAAATGATTGATTTTGATGCGCGTTTATAACTCACAACAACATTGTAACCTAAAGCCAATAACCCACCTAGGGTCATTCTTCCCACCTGTTAGGAAAAGGAAAATGAAATTAATGTTATTTAAAGGTTGAATTAAAGGAAGAATCTTGTTTATGTTTATTGTTTATGAACCTCAAACTCGGCTTTTGGGCGAATAATGAAATTTTTGTCAACGATTCTTCGGTCACCCAATGAAAGATAATATCTGATGCCACTTTGTCTCACTTTAATCCAATCATTAACACGTGCTTCTTCACTTGCTGATGGAGGCCTTAAATACATCTCAATGAAACTGAAAAGGAATTTTAAGCAGATTTAGATTTTGAAAAGAAAAAAAAAATACCATAAGAGACAACAATTTGATGACTCACTTATCAATCTGTGCTTCCTTCTTTGGAAAAGAGTACACGGGTTGACCACTTTCTGACTGATATTCAAATTTCAACAGCTTTGACTTGTTAAAAGAATGACAGTTGACTTAAACTATGATAAGTCAAGTAAGGAAAGGACGAAAGGTAAAGAAAACAGACCTCGCTTTTACATTTGAGCTTGTAAATTGAATCTCTAAATGATTGACCAAAACTATTGTTGATTCTGATCTGCAGCATTATAATTTATAAACAAAAGATTATCAGGAAACAAAAAAATATATGATTTGAAGTTGGAACCTTAAATGTCCTACCTGTGCATGGTGAAGATCTGGCTCAATATGTTTCCTAAACAAAGGGAAAATGCTATCAATTAGATTGTCCAATGAACAAGACTCTCCAATATCATATTTCACTTTGGAAAGAAGACTAAAATGCACTCCACCAACCTGTATACATATTAGTCATTAGATATAACATTTGAATATAAGTAGGTTAGGGGTAAAATGGTAATTACCACTGCCACACGAATGTCTAGCAGCGAGCGTAGTCTTGCATGAAGAGCATAAGTGCCATCAACTATTACCTGAAACAATGTACGACATGTAAGAGCAACCAGATAGGAACCTAGTCTACATGTAAAAGGGCAATTACGTCTTTACGCACCACCCCGAAAGAGGTACTCTTGATTTCTGTAGTTCCAATGCGTCTTTTTTGTTGGAAATCGAACACGGGTGTCAATATATCTTTACCCTTCAACAAATCCTATATCAAATCAAAGAGTTTCAGTAATCATTAGGTGATAACTAATAAGTATCTTTTCAAGATTTTGATTTTAGAAAGAAATTTTTTTACCTGAAGATTCTGAACTAGAAGATCAAAATCTATTGAACTCAAATCATTTCCTTCATCAGCTCCAGTGCGATAGTTTTCCATTGATATGACACTGCAACCAATAACGGATGCCACTTTTTCTGCTAAGCTGTAGACATTGTTAAATGTGCATCTTTATGATCATTCCAAATACATTGTGAGAAAATTTATAAACAAAACATGAATTTGGAATATGAAATTTACCTTGATTTACCGGATCCACTAGGACCACCAATGCCAACAGCTACAATGCCCTCTTTTTTAGATCTAAGTTCTTGAATTGATTTCACCAACAAGTAATACCCACGATCAAAAGACTGCAGAAGGTCGAAACACCAAAATAGTTATCAGAAAAGATATTAGGGTTTATCAGTTTTTGCATTTTTGGAAAGTAGGTATAACATTGATGCAAACTCAGTTTGAATTTTCTGTCTGAAACTTGTTTGCAGATAGAAAAGTAAGTAACAGTTTATATAAAGATCAACCTAGATTGTTTCAAATGTGGAAACCATATCGATTGATATGTTTCAAGTATAGCATAATGCAATGCAAGTATCGAACTTTTCTCAAAACTACGAAAGGTCTCATTAATGACAATTTCGAAATCGACAATTAAGCCCCTTTAAGTTGAAATCGGGAAGTTTCTCTTTGTATCTGAGACATGGAGAGATAAATTCACACAACAGTCAAACTAACTATACAATCGAACTGAAGACTTCTTTTAATCGAAGTAATTGAGCAATGATCGTGTTCGTCGGGATCCAAAACATAAAAATATAAGAAATTGATTAGGTTATTTCATCAAGCACTTGGCATGCACGATGAAAACACAAAAACAAGAAGATGAAATCGGCCTACCGCGTGAAGAGGAAGAGATTGGAGAATAGACGGAGACGATGAGGAAGTAGAGGGGGTTTCTTGGTAGTAATCCCGACCACCTTCTTGTAAAACTCGGTGCACTACATCATCATCCATGATGATAACTTGATAAGCAGCAAGAACAGGAAATTCTGTAGTGGGTTAGAATCCAGCAATCTGAATTTCTTGTTGTTGCCGGAAACTAGAACCGAAGATGAGAGAGAGAGAGAAGCGGGAGGGAATCTGATGAAGAGGGAGGATTGTTTTTTAGTAAAGGTTTTGTGTATACGCATAAACCATGTTTCTCTCTACTCCAACTGCCTTCGGCTCGCTGATCTCTGTAAACTATTTTGAGTTCTAATTTTTTGGGCCATAATAATTTTCATGGCTTCAAGATAAATGTTTTCCAAAGTGATACATATGACATGACTTTAAACAAAGAATAGTCACATAATATAAGTTATTGATTTAAGCCCAAATGACTTATTGAAATAAAAATGAAAAAATGTCGATAATAAACTATAAAATTTGAAAGATGAGTTTTAACTTTTAGGGTTTTTTGAAATATATATAAAAAATATGGAGTAAATTTGTTAGTTGCATAAACTTGATGGGTGGACTATTAAGTTAGACATCACATCAACATAAAATATAATAAATTTTATCTTAGAAATGAAAAAATAATAAATCAAAGTTATTAACCATATCCCTAAATTTCACTATAGTATAAGAACGAATTGTGTAAGTTAGTTTTTTTTATATGTACAACTTTAATGCTGATAATATTTTATTCAATACCACAAACACTAAACAAGTATCTTTCTACTATTGCTTAAAGTTTTATTATTATCTTGTAATCGAATAAAGTGTAGTCTAGACTTCTAATGATAACCAAAAATAGTTATTAATAAAGGTAACTGGCAAACCGTTTATAAATCACATCATCCATACTTTTTGTACATGTATGTCAACTATTTTCCACCCCTATATTTTTAGATGAATTTTTATGAAACTTTACATGCATATTAACGAGTTGTCAAATACATGACTAAATTTTAGTTGATGTTAAGATATGTTTGAAAGTGACCGCTAGTATTTGAAAACTGAATACCGAAAGTCGTATTATTATTTGTGTAGAAGTGTTTAAAAAAAATAGTAGTATTTTTTTGGAATTTACTAAAATTGGTTTTTGCATTACGGATATTTTGTTTAAGGGGTGTTTGGGATTGTTGTTTCAACTCAAAAAGTGTTTATTTTGACTTGTGGGGTGGCAAAAGGAGTTTTAAAAAAATTGCATTAGCTTTTAAGTCCAAAAAAAAAATTATAATTGCAAAATAACTAAAAATGGCATGTAAAAATATAAGGAAAAAAAAATGAGTGACTTCATTAAAGATAATACAAACATTTCATCTCAAAAAGTCATAAGTTGTTTAAAAAATAAAGAATGAGTTATATTTTTTTTTAATAACTTAAAAGGTTCTTTTCAAAATCACTATTAAGTTTGAAAATATTTTTTTTATTTATTGGTTTTTCAAAAAACCAATAAATTAATAAGTTGTTTTGAAAAATAATCTCAAACACACCCTAAAAAAACATTTAAGTTTGAATAAAGGTTTTTCTGTAATTTTTCTTTAGAAAGTTAGAAGTTCAAATTCTCAAAAACTTATTAACAAATATACCTTTTGTAATATAATAATAAGTTTAACTCAAATTTTATATAAAATGAAATTTATAAAAATAGATTTTGGCATATTTTAAATTTTTGAATCTACAATGCACCATTTTAGTGGAAGAAAAAGAGATTTTCTCTTAATAGAACCATTAAGAGGCTATCAGAGGCCTTAATTTTGATGGGTTAGGAGTTTGTCTTTTAATTAAACCATCAAGAGGATAACAAAACAGTCTGTAATCATGTTAATTCGCCATATGAGCACATACTTTAAAAGAGGTGAATTTTAGGGGTGTTCGTTTGGATAGATCGGTTTGATCCAATCCAATCAAATGAATCTAAATAGATTTCGGTTTTTTAAACATGGTTCTTAATAGTCCAAACTAAATTCGAATCTAATACGACCTAACCAAATTTCAATTCGGTTGGGTCGGTTTTTTAATTCGGTTTCCAAAAATCGAAACATTTTAAAACCACGTATAATTGGAGTATTAGGCAACTTTATAAAAGAAACTAAAATAAATTATTTAGTTGTGGTTTAAAATATATAAACAACTACTACAAAAATATATTATAGTTTAATATTTTATAGATAAAAAAATTTTGATAGAAAATACATATTAAGGTTTTTTATTAGGTGGAACATTTTAAATCTATTTGAAAAATAAATAACTAAATTTATAAAGAATTGTAGATATATATTAAAAATAAATAAATAATAAATTATTATTCGGTTTTTTTTTTACTATTCGGTTCTTTTTTTATAAACCAAAACAATTCAAAATAATAATTTGGTTTTGTTGATAACTAATCCAAAAATATGAATATCCGAACCAAATATTCCAATCCAAATTGTCTAATTGAACAATTTGGTTTTATCCAAATAGTGAATAACCCTAGTGAATTATGTTGGATTATGTATCTAAACTCATAACTATAATTGGGATGTACTTGATCAGATGTAGTATGGTCCTTTTTGGTTGCCTTTACCATAACAACTGATAATATGAATTATAGAGAAAGAGGTTAATTTATGATTTATTAATATATTATAAGAATAATATATTAATTGAGAAATCATATTATTTAATTAGTATTGGTCAAGAAATTAATTTAGTGATCAGAAGAGACTGGTCAGAAGAACGGGGACTGATTGTGTAAATCAGTAATTGTTGTAGTTTGGGATAATGGATCCTATTGGTATAGGATGGACAAAAATCTATGGGGAACCCATACAGTTTTCGTACAAGGCTTACCATTTGGGGGTCTATATGTTGCTTATAAAGAATTAGTATAAGCTTACTTTAATTGGTATTCATCATAATAATCTCAGGTTACAAACGAAGACTACGTATATAGTCTAATCACAAAAAGCTAACTACCAATTACTAACAAATAGGATATTTATCTCAATAAAGATAAGAACTACATAAATCATGCTAATCTAATAACTGGATAATCACCAAATCCTTTACTCCCCCTCAAGTTGACACATGAAGATTTCGAATGTTCAACTTGACAAGTAGTGACTGTAACTTGTCAGAACCAAGAGGCTTGGTAAACAAATCCGCTAGCTAAGCTTGAGCAGAAACATGAACAGGAGCTATTTCTTAGACTCCACTCTCTCCCGAACGAAAAAACAATCCATTTCAATGTATTTAGTTCGTTCATGAAAAAAACGGATTGTGTGCAATATGACAAGCAGACTCATTATCGCACAGGAGTGGAGTAGGCTTGTCAATGCAAATTCCTAGTTTAGAAAGTAACCACCAAACCCATAAAATTTCACTGAACATAATCGCCATGGCACGATACTCCGCTTCTGTAGAAGACTAAGAGACCACCGATTGCTTGCGAGATTTCCATGACACTGGTGCACCACCTACCATTAACAAATAACCAGTTCTTGAACGCCTAGAGAAGGGACATCCTAACCAGTCAGAGTCACTGTAAGCAAGCAACTCTGGTTGTCCATCCTTTGGAAGAAGAATTCCTTGTCCAAAAGTTGTTTTAAGATAACGCAAAAGTCTCAAGGTTGCATTCCAATGATTTTGATTAGGATCAGGGACGAATTGGCTTAAAACATTAACTGAATATGTAATATCCGACCGTGTTGCTTGTAAGTAAAGTAGTCTTCCAACCAATCATCTATACAAATTAGCATCAACTTTCTCTTCTTTATCACCTTTGTCCAGTTTGAGATTTTGTTCCATTAGGAACTTGCTTGGACGACACCCAAGCATACCAACATCATCTACTATGTCAATAGTATACTTCCGTTGACTAAGTACTAGACCTTCTTGTATGTGTGACACTTCAATCCCCAAGAAATACGTGAGACTCCCTAGATCTTTGATGCTGAACCGAGCATGGAGACTCGACTTGGTACTCTCAATCTTCTTATAATCATTACCTATAATGATCACATCATCAACATATATCAATGCTGCCACAAACACTTCTTTATTTCGATGAATGAGCAATGAATGATCTGCATGTGATTGATGGAAATCAAGTTCTCGCAACGTTGAGGTGAACTTGTGATACCAGTTCCTACTAGCATGCTTTAAGCCATACAAAGACTTCTTCAACTTGCAAACTCTCGTGTCACCTTCTTTGCCAAAACCTTAAGGAATCTTCGTGTACACATATTCTTCAAGATCACCATGTAAGAATGCATTACTCACGTCTAACTGATGTATGATCCAATTATTTTTGACCGCCAAGGTTAGTAAAATTATGACAATGACGAGTTTAGCAACCGGAGCGAATGTGTCATGGTAGTCCACACCTTCCAGTTGTGTGTATCCTTTCGCGACGAGCCTTGCTTTGTAGCATTCTATCTCCCCGTTTGGTTTAAACTTGATTTTGTATACCCATTTAGAGTCAATGGCGTGTTTATCCGGTGGTAGCTCAACAAGTTTCCAAGTCTTATTTGCTTTTAAAGCACTTATTTCTTTGATCAGTGCATCCCGCCACCTTTCATCTTTAGTTCCATGCTTAAAACACTTTGGCTCATAGTGTGTGACTATGGCTGCTAAAAATGCTTTATGAGACTTAGAAAACTTTTTATAAGAAACATAAGAGGGGAGGGGGTGTACCATAGAAGCATGTCGATTGGTGGCAGGCAATGCATGATGGATCGACGGGGGTAATTCAACCTCATAGTTATTAAATCGAAGGGGTTGTGTTCGAGCTCGTGTAGCCCTCGCTGAATGAACATCTTCAGATTCAGTGTGCGTGGGGGAGTAATTTTCATTGCTAGAGGTTGTGGATATAGGAGATGCATTATTACTATCATCATCAGAAGTGGGTGTCACCTCTTGGTTAATGGTGAGATCATCTTCGTGAGAATCTATATGAGAAAGCTTCACCACATGGGGCAACATGAGTTTCACTTGCATTGTTGTATAGCTCAAAAAGTTCTTGTTGCAGATTCTTATTTACTAAATCTGATCCCATTGGAAACTAATCTTCTAGAAATCGAACATCCCTATAAACAATTACTTTTCTGTGTTCTAAATCATATATTCGATATCCTTTTGTACCTTGAGGATACCCAACAAACAAACCTGGTCTGCCCCTAGCCTCAAATTTTTCACCCTTAATCTTTGTACTTCGATAATAAGCCAAACACCCAAACACTCGCATGTGATCATAAGTAGTTTTGTGACCAAAAAGTAGTTGTCGAGACACACTCACCCTAAAAAAGCTTTGGTAGGTTTGCATGA